GAGGATAAGGAGGGTTGATTGGCTAAGGTCAATGAGATATACACACACAACACAACAATACACTACAAATATTATGTCACACCGACGGGGGGGGGCAGATGGCCGGTGGTTAGAGAATAATTCTGATCAAGGCTGTTGTTGCTATCAATGCAGTAAGCATGTTGTTATTAACCATTCCTAATTTAGCTTAGTTTCGTATAATGGATCACCCACCAGTATAACATAGTTTAATTTCCTCAAGTATTGGTTTTGTAGGGATTTTTTGTTTGATTGCATGGAGGATTTCATCATGAGCTGACATCAGTTAAAGAACCAGTGGAAAACCTGCAGGGAGTACTGGACAGCTGTTTCGTCCGAGTTTGGGACTCTTCATCAGTACGCATCCACCACAGCCACAGGGGTTCGAACCCAGGACCTTCTGGTTACAAGGCGAGCAAGCTCGTAGACCATTAAGCCACTGGAACTCAATCCAATGGTCCTTGAATTCTAACTTCTGCCAATTCACGCATAACATAGCGCGACTATTTCGCAATGTCTTCTTCGATGAGTTACAGTTTAAATCACTTTAGCACTGTGTTGACGACTATAGATCATAAAACCATATACTAATACTATTAGTACTACTGACTGGTTTGCATGAATGAGTAGTAGCTGGATACCACTCACACCAAACAAACAACGAACCAGTGGTTGGTGATGAGCTCGGCCATGAATGAGAGAAACCGGCCGGTCTGGTGTTTCTATCACTTCAATCTGGCCAGCATTTTTCTAAATTTTATTTAAAACACAAACCCTCGTAGAATATCAGTGACAGCAAGAAGATGCGCCATACAACAACAATAATAAAACAACATATGAAAAAGTAGGTAGAGAATTAATAAAGGAGTTCAATAGGGGAAGAAAGTAGTTATATGTAAACAAGACCAAAAAGCATTCGGCGAATTATTGTCAGAAAGGCAAGAAAGAAAGAAATTGCAAGGCGTTCGCTATTGACTGTGACTCTTTGCCATATCGAATAATGTGTTCTAGCCACCGACTCGAGCTACCTCTCGGACCCCAACCAGGGAGTCGTGACACACCAACTGAGGCGCCATGTCATAATACACCGACCACCTCTCCGCTTTTTCCATCCCATCCCAGGGCTAGCGAACAGAGACCAGCACGGAAGCTTCTGGGATGACATTCATAACGCATATCCAAGCCGCTGTTTCCAGATGACGACACTCAATGAATGCTGATCTCCACTGTGTCCAGGCACGCACCGCAGAACCTCAGAATTACTCGCACGATGATACCATCGAACTCAAGTAATTCTAGGGAGACAGCAATGATCGAATACGCAGATCTGGCTAGCCAGCCACCAATGGGTGATATGAATGCCATACAACTATTCATCTCAATCAATCAGGGTTCGCTATCGAAACGTATCATCAAACGCTTACCCACATTCGTGGTTTTATAAAGGAGAAAAATTTGAACCCCCTCCCGCAGCTTTATCTTGGAACACTTGGTTGAATTTGGACACCAACAACTTAAAAGTCATCTACCGAATACGCCGGAATCTCGCAATAAGAGTGTACGAATCAAACTTCATCAAACTCCGTGGAAGCAATGGTCATTCGCATGTTAAATCCTGAACTCTGAATACAAAAGAAGCTTATTCAATCACTGAGTCTACAACGGATCTGATTTGTTAGTAACACTGGATACATAATTTATATTCCTTAATTGTATTATTTTCTTTCCCCACCCCAACCTATTAAATTTCTGCCCCAAATTACCACTGTTGTTAACTTGACTCTCATTCATATTGCACTTGAATTATATTCAATCCCATCAATTATACTACGTCACTCAACTTACTTATTCAATTGCATTTTGGTTCGTACCCCCAATAACACCTTTTTCTATGATATGCAATTTGTTATCTAGAATCAGTATGAGTTGGCAACCTCACCACATTGGATTGTAATCCTATTCCATTGTGGAATAGTGATCGGTGTATGCTAAATCTGTGAAGCCATCCCACGGGATAGATAGCATTGTTGTGAAGTCAGTTAGTTCTTCTGTATGGGTCAGAAACTTGGTCAGTGAGTCACAAAAAGCATTTCCAGCAGACAGGCTATTTCAGCTACATCATCATCAACAGCCACCCACTTCGCTGCCGCCAAATTCAAGACCAAATGGCCAGCGAGTAACAATTAGCAACAAGGGACTGTGGGAACAAACTAACCAAGAACCTATCGTTCAGCAAATATGCAGGAGAAAATGGAGATGGATTGGACACACGCTGAGGAGACCGTCCGATGACGTCGCGCACCAGGCCAGTGGTCGAGTGGAACCCGAAGATGAAACGACGAGTGGGTCGTCAGCACGAGGGTGACATACATGGAGGAGAACATGTGGCGACTAGGGGATGACAGATTATGGGTAATCGCGTGGCTGGCCAGCTGAAGAGGACAGAATTAGATAGAACAAAGTGGAGATGTGTTTTTGAAGTCCTATGTTCCACTCGAAACCTGAGGGAACAATAATAATCATACCATAGAGTTTTGAGCTACAACGAAACAGTAGCTTCTGTAATGTTACCATTTTGCTTTTTATTCAATGGTTCATGAAGAAAAATGACTGACTTTTGTAAGCTTTGCAATTCACATGGCATGTCACTATGTAGATCATATTTCCTTAAAATGCCAATATGAACTGAGTAAAGAGCTGAAGAGTCATTCTAATAATTCTTCATATTTACAAATAAGTAAGTGACTGATTGACTGAATTTCAACGTCAAACTATGGCTGGCTGGATTTAACATAGAACTTGGCACCGAAGTGCAGCAGTTCCAGTTGCCACGTTCCAAATACCACACAAAGGTAGACAAGAAGATGAGTGAAGAGAATCAATAGAGTTTTGACAAGTATAAGAGTGAATCAGAATGAGTAGTGGTAGAAAGGAATATGAAAGATTACAGAGACTGAATACATCTGCGTAAGCCATTGACAACGATCTTGAGCCATGTCACCTATTGTCTCCAGCCATTGATTCTTAGAGTCCCGAGGGCGGACCCCAACCCGGAAGTCTGCATCTCCCTACCTGACTCAGTTTAACTAACTGTCAAGGATTTCATGGATTGATACCATGTTTTTGTTTGGCCACCACTTACTCTTTTCAAACCTGCACCTATATCAGCCAGAAATACCCGTCGGGGGAGGCGATGGTTAGGCATGCGCAGCACGTGACCTAACCATCTCAATCTATGTAACTTCATAGCCTCTTCGATTGATTTTCCCTCTTTGCCCAAAACTCGACGCCTAACGTCAACATTACTTACCTTAGTATACCACCTAACGCGAGAAAGAGATCGTAGACATCTATGATCAAAAGCAGTCAACCTTTTCATGTCTTCAACTCGTATTGGCCATGTTTCAGAGCCATAGAGAAGGACGGAGCGAACTGCTGAGCAGTACACACGTCCCTTGGTTGATAACCGGATACGTCGAACTATGCGTAGAAGTGAAACATTTCAAGCTGCTGCAGTCCACATAGCAGACAAAAGAGATTCGAAATGAGCAGAAGTACTTGGCAGAAAGAATAACCACACGGAGAATCATGACGTTCTGAGAAATTACCATGGGGGCTGGGAGGAGAAATGGAACTGCGTCACTGAGAACGATTTTGGGTCAGATCCCTCTTACAACTTCAAGTCATTGAGTTATTTCTGAGTCTCGAAGACCCCAACCAGAGTTTACAGAAACACACACCTCTACGTGGCTCAAATCAATGCATCAGATAGAAGACTGTATTTCTTGAAATTGTCACGTGTGATTATAAAACATGCATGTTTGAGATGAAGCATGTTAAATTAGATTTTGGAGAGCTACATAACCTGACTGAGTGGCTGGTTTCAACATAGAACAACTTTGCACAGATATGCAGCAGTTCAAGTTGCACACAAAGCAAGAGCAGAGAGTAAAGCGAGTTTCAAAAGACAGATAATAAACAGAAGTGTAGGTAAGGGGGAAAAAGAATAATAATATGGAAGAACAATAGACTCATATTGGATATGATAAATCACAAAGAGTGAATGCATCTCCACCAGCCATCATCGAGAACCATTTTCAGTCATATCACCAATTGTCTCTAGCCCTCATTACTTCTTACCACCTAGAGGAATCCATCCAGTCAGGCAGTCTACGCCGTCCTACGTGGCTGGTTTAAACTCAGTGTTATGGATTTCGCTGACTGATGAAGCCATGTCTTCTCTTGACCACCATTAGCTAACTCTTTTCCAACCTGATCATCCCATGTCAGCTAACATTGCCCATCGTCGAGGAAGACGATGCCTAGACATGCATGCATAACACATATCTTAACCATCTCAATCGATGTAACTTTACAACCTCACCGATTGATTTTCCCTCCCACCTACCCAGCACTCCACGCCTGATCTCAATATTTTTCACCCTATTACACCTAACAACCAACACGGAAAACAGAACGCAGACACCTATGATCAAAAACAGCTAGCCAGCCTCTTTATGTTTTCCACTTTCAATGGCCATATCTCATTCAAAGTCCTGCTGCTGAGCAGGACACACGTCCTTTGGTCGACAGCCAACCAGCCAGCCGGATATCCCGTCTACTAAGTCACAGATAGCATAATTTGTCATATGTCAAACGAACCTTCTGTATCAGTGCTGTGATTTCGTCAGAGATCAACCCGCTGGCGTTGGCTCATGTATATTTCCAAATAAGTGAAGCGGTCAACACGCTTCATGCTAGTTTTCACACCAGTGTGCAACTCGTAACAACCCCAAGTATCCCACAGAGGTACAATAAATACCATCCCATTGAACATAGTCTCCACACATACACACACATACATACATGGACAGCATCGAAAAAGAAAACCCCAATGACAACCATCTTGAAACAGACAAAATAAATGAAAATAAAAATGTGAACATTGCAAGATGAGCACTAATCATCACCATCCAACTCACCTGGATAACCATGACATAAAACATCGATAGGTGTTGCACGTTTTGTATCACCAATTTTCTGATAACGTTCACGTAGATTTTCAGCTTTTAAACCTTGCCATGGTAAACTTCCACGTAAGAAATATAAAAACATATGACCTAAAGCCTCTAGATCGTCACGTCGTGATTGTTCTACAGAGACACGTTGTTGTTGGAGAGAAAGCAATGAAAGAGCACAAAAAGAATTCATTAGCATCTCTGAACATATAATAAAGAAATATAGTGAACTGACAAGTGAACTCTGATTCAGCAGTAATAGAAATTGTTACAGAGTAATAAAAAAACTGTTTCTATAAATAATAGTAAATTTTGTAAACTACAAATAAGGTTTAGTCACAATTAGGTAAAAGGTTGTGAAGCTGTAACTCATTGGTCTAGATGTTAGATGCACGACTTCTAACCACTGGACGATAAATAAAGAAGTTTGAAAGCCGCTCCGTCTACTACTGAACTTCTGAGAACCAAGTGCAACAAAGAACAACAGCAGCACATCTACACACTATCCTGTTGTCTGCAGTCTCCTTAGCTCTACGATTTTCCATTTAAGCTCTGATTTTCTTCCCATATACTATTCGCTTCATTATATCACTCTGCAGGCGACGTTCACCTCGTTTTTACGTATTCGATTTTTCATTAGAGGAGGGGCCTAGTGTACGACGTCAGTACTCAAGAGTCTATTCAGCTATAGGGCTATATGTTCTTGTCCACCTTGCTGACAGAATTCCCTGTTGTTCATTGTTCATGACAGGGCGTCTGATCTTCGGCGGAGAACGCAGCTTCTGAAGGTCTGTTGGAAATGCTTTTGGTGATGCACCCGCCAGACCTCTGAACTGCCTTGACATCAGTATTGAAAATCAAGTTATTGTCCCTTATATACTGACTGCTAAAGACTTCCACACTGATTTCAGACAAATGACGGCTTGTCTCTAACATCCTCATCCGTTCTACCTAACTGTAGTTGAAACGATACTGCCTTGATAAGCGAAATAGAAAATTTCTTCGTCTTCTCTATGTTCCCCTGAAGTTCTGTCTTCGCTGCTTCTTCTGCCATCTCGTTGATTTTCTTTCGCCTTTAGATCTTCAAGTTTATGTGATATGAAACATAGATCAGTTGCAGAGTCCAAATCTTCCAGTGCCTTTTCATCCGTCGAAGAGGTTTCTCTTCACCGACAAGAACAATCAACACTAAGTAGTAGTCAAGCAACTAGTCAAAGAAGAAATCTAAGGACAACATAACGCGATGATGAAACAACCGAAGAAACATTAATTCAAATTGTCAAATGCAAAAGGATTCCAGTGAGGCGAAATTTTAACCTTCATTAATCTGTCACGGGTAAAATTTATTTTGATTAAGTCTCACAGTGTTTGTTATACAGTAACATTTACTGATGACGACGTTTCGAGCACAATTTATTGCTACTGTTCATAATCATGTCAAGACACTACTCACACAACTTTCTATTTTAGTTTATGCAATTCCATTATTTTTCATCGCTTGACTTGATTGGCAGTATTATTTTCCATATTTCCGGTATCAATGATGAGTCATTCCTATGGGATGTGTTGGGTGTAGATTCGATGAACAAGGATTCAGTCACTAATCAACCTCTCTCTCCACCTACCTATATTACTCCTTACAATTTTAACCGTATCCCACCCTATTGTGTGATTGTGTGTTAATGCATGTAGTGCAATGTAGTGCTGAGCTTTTTCTAAATTATTTATCTTCTCGGGGTCAACCATTCTTACCTTAGCTAAATTCTTATGTTCCGACAATCTGACTACCTGACCTACGTAGTTGACCTAACTTACACTCATAGTAAGGCATTTTGTTAATTATATTATTTTGTCTAATTGGGTCAACCCACTGGGTCCCTTAACCTACAGAGCTTCTTCTATCTTAGTGAGTTTGTAGGTCTGAATGTCACAAATCTATTTCCTGTTTTATTGAAAATCCTACGTAGGGTTTTAGATGTCCCCTCCTTATATGGTAAAACTGTAGATATCTTATATTCTTTCTTATTTATGTTATCACTATTAGTTTCACCGTTATTTTTATTTTGCTTTTGGGCTTTTCTCATCTTCCCAATGAATTTTATAGGATCGTTATTCAACAGCAACGCCTCTTCTATCTGTCCCATTTCATCATTTAGGCCTTTCCATGTACTACTTAGAGCTACTGCTCGGTTTGTTAGACACTTAAAATCTGAGCCTGCCTTTACAGAAAGTTAACGGGTGGGATGAATTAAAGTTTAAATATCTATTAGAATGTGTTGGCTTATTTTTATAAACGCTAGTGTGCAGTCTACCTTCTTCTATTCGTTTTATTTTACAATCTAACTTCATAGCTAATTTTCCTTGTTCATTTTCCGATTCAAATGTGAATTTTATTCCCTCTACTAGTGAGTTTATGTGTGTCAAGTAGCTAGAGATATGTTATTTTTAACACTGTGAGTGAAAGTGTCAACCACATATCTGCACCATATTTTTGGAGTAGGATTAAATGTGTTAAGACCTGTATTTTCCCAGCCGTCCATAAAGATATCTGCTACGATAGGGGATATTGGTGATCCATCCCATTGCTACACCTGTTTGTCTATATATTTTGCCTTGGAATTTAAAGACAGTAGATGTGAGACATTACTGAATTCCTAAAATAATTTTCTCAGTGGGTAGTTTCGTCCTATCAGTGAGTTCAGGACCTGCAGTTAGTTCTTTTTTAACTGCTTCTAAGTCCATATTGATTGGTATATTAGTATAAAGACTAGTTATATCACAACTAACCATTGTTTCATCATTATCTAGTTGTATGTCATTTAGTTTATTTTTCATTTCATATGAATTAGTTAGTCTAGAATTTGAACGATTTCTAATGGGACATAATATTAGAGCTAAGTGTTTTGATAATTCATATGTAGGGGTATTTCTGAAATCTATTATTGGTCGTATGCGGTAACCTGGCTTATGTATTTTAATAGTACCATACATTCTACTAGCATTATTACTTTTAGGCATCAAATTAAACCATTTATTAATCTGATAGTACATTTTTGAGTAATCGAAGTTTACAGGGGTGGGGAAAAAGTCAACGATGAAAATATTAAAACCAAGTATTACACACACACATACAATCGGATACACTGAAGACTTCAATTAAATAGTTAAAAACAATTTCGAACAAATTATGTCTGATTTTATTTGTTCGATGGTGGGACAAGTAAGTGGGATCAATCCAGAATGCACAGCTCTTCTTCAGCTAAGATTCAAACAACTGATACCAGTTTGTACAATAAGTGCAATACCATACCCACGGTATGTAAATAATGCTCTGAGTTTCCGAAATGATGACTACTGGATTTAAGTTTCAGACAAGCTGACGAGTTTCCGAAAAGGACGAAACACACGCCACCATCAACTAAATAACATCATATTAAACTTTAAACATCGCCGAGGTGGCTGGCACTAATGTGTCTAGTGCTACTTATAATCAGATATAAGTAGTATATCAGTAAACGAATTCAGAAAGGCAACAATATGTTTCGAGGCACCGGAGAAAAAAGCAATCGAAGAGGAGAAACTATGGGAAGAACGACGTCACACAACACTGTTCAGAATCCAACAAGCTATCGAATGTGATGACAATCGACCAATTCGCTAACGATGTGCAAATAAAGCATTGAAGATAAGGTATACCAAATTTATGTACCAACAATGGCGTTTGTCCTAATAAACATTACCTTCTAGCCTCATCGGTCTTTTCTCTTTTACACTAGGAGACGAGATGTCAACGGAGAGCGGATATTTCGGTTCAATTAAATCGACCAAAAGGGAAATATAACACTTCACTAACAATAAATAGCGAATACAAGAGACGACTTTTCGGCTTAAATAGTCAAGTGAAGAAATAACTGGATGGTGAATTCCGGTCTCAGAGGGGAAAATACATCGCTCACAGTAAAATGAATACTACACATTCATCCACCGCCAAGTGACGTATCACAAAATTGACAGTGTTCTAAATTCTGCTGACACTTCATAACGTGTCACCGCTCTTTTAATTGAGAGAGAGAGAGAATCCCCCTCAGTGTGATTAACCAGTCAACAATGAATTCATCGCATCCAGTAAAACAAAACAGAACACTACACTAAAATATTCTTCGCAGGTGGTAAGTTTTCTAACTGATATCAAGAAAAAGTTTGATTGTGCTACACATAAATTTTCTCATTTTCCGAGCGGAAACACACCGCTTCAAGCTACCTTTTTTAAGTTTTTTAAGTTTCAACTAGCGATAATCTCGTTTTTCTCTTATAGTGTATGCGGAGGGAGGGGGCTTACCAGCCTCGCCGTTCAACCTTTTCTCTTCTTCCAAGCCTGTAGCTATCGGCTAGGAAACCAGGCGAGGGGTTTTACGGGAGTACATCACCCAGGAATCGTATCCACAGTTCTGGCCCGTAGGTGGTGGTGAGCATCCCTACCCGCCCACCCACGCATGCAGCACATATACTAATACTGATTATTTAACAATACAAATATCTTAAAACAGAAGAAATAAAACGACAAACAGAGTTCTACAGTTTATGTACATACAAATTTTAATTCCAAACTATTAATCAATACTGTCGAGAATAAATGAGAGCACATGATTAACCTTCATGCATATATATATATAATCCAAAGCGCATGACTTTTTGAAAGCAAAATACGTTTCTAAACAATTTTTTCTTCATATATGATCTGTCTTTAAACGTTGATTTATTTGCGTCAAATTATATTCTATATCTGAGATCAAATGATTAGTAAATAATATACCAAAATCCAATAAGAACACTAAGCATCTAAACAAGTGATCCGACAAAGTTCAAACGACAGGTTAGATCAGATCAGATCAAGATTTAGCTTTGAAGTTTCAGTAGCAGTGATATTTTTTACGGGGTGAGGTTGCTAGCCTCACGCTAGCCCAACCCCCCCCTCTATTTTGGGACTGCAACCGGCTAAGGGAGGTAAAGGTGCGTACCAGCCAAGACTCGAACCCTGGACCACACCCTACGGCCGAACCACTGAAGCACACTCTAAACTATAGCAACCAGAAACGAAGATATCTCCTAACTAAATAAAGACCTTGACAAAGCTCTGTTGACCAATCAGATGTGTCCGAAGTAAAAGTGCGTGATTTGAAAAAAAAGTTTTTATAAAAGTAATGCACTGTTAAAAAGTAATTACATAGAATAACAGTTTTGTATATGTTTCAAGAAAACCTTCCAAATTTCTCATGGTTAGGCAAAACCAATTTCTGTACACATAAATTCGTCATCGTGTCTTTCTTGACCTGTTCACCGCGCTCTGATCCTCTTTTTTCTAAATGACTCCATTGGTCTATGTGAATGGTTGTGTGACAGGTAGGACTAAACGTTAGACGACAGGTAACGAAACACTGGCACTACGATTAGGGATCGTTTAAAGGAATCTTTTCTGAAGGAATGGTGTACAACATCCATAATTCCACCCATATTTTATTGTATTTTTTATTATAGCTTGATTCCATACAGTATTTTGATACAAGTGTGGAATTTTCAGCATGTAAAATCGGTAACCCAAATTTAACAGGCCGACATTGATATAAGGTGTGCGTCGGCCGAAGATCGAACCCCGGACAATGTGCATGGCAAGTGAGAGTCCTTACCACTGTGCCACCGACGCACGGATTCATCTGATTGCTTCCTCAGGGTCATTAATCCATTCAATAAGTAGTTTCGTTTCGAGCTGCTACAGTTTATAATCACCGATCAATCTTTCTTTGCAAAAAATCTAAACTATGCGAGGCTTAGTAATAAATACTTTCACATATGGACAAAAAACACGTGCAATATGTGTGTGTGTGTGTGGTTAAGAGACACACTTGATGTACATGACAGCTGTCAGTAGCCTTTGTTACGCTTTGTAGAGTTGTGGATCATTGGTGTAGGCGCTCTCCTTAAAAATCAGTGAACCAGACCGACCGACAGCTGCTACTTTGGCGTAGTGGTGATGGTGGTGGTTGGGCCTGCACACAGGAATGACCCAACGAGCCACACTGTCTGAAACTACTATTCCCAGAGGTCCTACCATGCCAGAAGACTAATCAGAATAGCGATTAGACTAAAACCACTTACCGGCATACTGTAAAATGTTCACACTATGCTTGGGATCATCTGTGGACAATGTCGTACTGCTCGAGAACAAGGATATAAAAGCAGTAGAGTGTTTCCCTCAAGTGACCAGCATGCCAGCTATCCTGCCTCTTGACTCTGGAGAAGGGTCTTAGAAAAATTTGACCCCAGTAAGTGTACATTCCAACTTACCCTACAGAGGTCTGTAACCAGCGACAGTAAGTTCTGAATACGGATACAACTCTAATAACCATTCCATACAGACTGTGTGTGACCGGCCCCAAGCCGCGGTCATGCAACACTCAGTATCTTTCTGTTCCAGGTACCTCAATGAGAAATCAATCAGTCGCTTGCCAAGGAGTTTGGGCAGCAAAGTAGTGTAACTAGTCCTCATGTAATAGGTGTGGTTCATGCCCAGCTTGGCGTGAAACTATAAGAGGTTATTGATCGAAATTACACTTTCCTTTCATTTTCCTCTAAGCTGTAGTAAGTTGAACAAGACTCCAGACCACTGTAAACATAGACACAAATCGAATCTGAAATATCCTTAGACAGATGGATGTCGCATCCCTCTGAAAAAATAAGGGCGAAGTTAAACTATGGCAGTCACTCCAGAGCACATGACTTCCAACCACCGAATATAGTTACAGATAATACAACCAAATCAAATTATGCCTTCGCTTCTGAGTTTGTTCCCAAAAGATCGATTATCTGATTACAGTATAAATAATAATGGATTCATTAAAGTTACCAAAATATGTATACGCTCAAGGGAAGTCTGACACGATAACTGATCATTTTGGAAGGATTGGGATTTATGGATAGATTCAAGAACAGGATCAAAATTCCAAACAGATTTGAGAACTTCTTTGGAGTTAGTTTGTACGAATTTGATTTGTGTCAATTCCCAGGCAGAGAACCACTTGGAAAACCATCAGGCAGTATACTATGCAGCTGTTTCATCTTTGTTTCAGATTCTTTGGCAGTACACACCTACGTTTTTGGTTGCAAGACAAGCTCGTAGAACACTCAGTCACTAGGACCCAAACTGAGTGGTACGTGCTACCGAAGAGTCCCAGACTAGTCCCACTACTCGCCGATGGTTTTCAATCGTTCTCTAACCGATATCAATCCCTGATCAAACTTGCGACACACCTAAGACCACCATGGTCTATACAGTCATGCTTTTAGCAATTTTGCAGTTTTAATTGCTCCTCAATTCTAATTAGTAGTTCGAGCTCAATGGTAAGGCAGATAGACAGAGAGGTGTCTGCTATAGTTTAACTTCACCAGCAAAATAACAATACCATCAACCAGCAGACACAATGTAGTAATTAATACAGTGCTCAAAGGACAGGAGTAAGACAAGGCTGCCTACTATCGCCAATGATTTACCTGATTGCAGTAGATTGGATAATGCGACAAACAGTGGGCAATGAGGAAACAGGCATAAAATGGATTCACACAAAAAACTTGGAGGATCTGGACTTCGCCGATGATATATGTCTGATTTCCCACAAACTGGAAGATATGCAAGCGAAAAGCAACAAGTTGGCAGAAGAAGCATCAAAGATAGGACTTCAGGTGAATATGGAGAGAACAGAGGTGATGAAGATTCCTATCCAAAACCAACATCAATAACAACAACAGACAAAAATCAGCATAAATGGGAGAAACCTGAAAGAAACAACCTCCTTTACTTACCTACCTGGGAAGCATCGTTTCAACTACAGGCCGGCGGAACTGACGAGGATATCAAAGCAAGAATCGGAAAAGCAAGACAAGCTTTCACTACTCTCAAGTCTGTGTGGAGGTCAACAGCACTCAGCATCAAAAATAAGATCCGGATTTTCGACTCCAATGTGAAGTCAGTGCTACTATACGGATCAGAGACTTGCACTGCGCGTCATAAACAGCATCTCAAACAAACTACAGACCTTCATTAACAGTTGTCTTCGCTCAATACTCAAGATCAGATGGCTAGCCAGAAAAGATCAGCAACAGAGATCTCTGGCAATGAGCAAACCAACACAGCAGGAAGCGATTGTGAAACAAATAGGTAGGAAGAAATGGAGACGGATTGGCCATACTCTGAGGAAACCATCAAGTGACATCACTAGACAAGCCATCGCTCGAGTGGAACCCGAAAGGGAAGTGGCGAGTTGGTCGTCAGTGCAAGGGTGACTTGGAGGAGGTCATGTGAAGAGGAGATGAAAACGTGTGTGCAGACTTGGAGACGGGTGAAGACTCTAGCAGAGAACCGAGCGCAATGGAGACGCACGGCTGAAGCCCTATGTTCCTCTAGGAGTTAAAGGAAACAATAATAATAATAATAATCAAAGATGCGAGAACAAGCATGTATAAAAACACAGAATACACAAATGAGAGGAAGTCAAAGTTACACACCCACTAATACCACCAACATAATCATCATCATCAATATCACTGACTTACCTTTGCCTAAATGTGTATTAATACTCATATATCGTGCAGTACCAGTTAAACTTTTATGCTCACGATAAGGAATGTGTTTCTGTGTTTCAGGATCAATATATTCTTTAGCTAAACCAAAATCAATAATATATATAGTACGATGTCTATTATAATATTGACGTCCAATAAGAAAATTTTCTGGTTTCACATCACGATATATTAAATGCTTTGAATGTACATATTCAATACGTCGAAGCTAAAGTGTTTCAAAAAGAGAAGTAAAACAAAAGTGAAGGTTATTCAACAAATATGAAATTTTTTTTAAGTAAACAACTATTTGTGTGAAAAGAAAAACTAAAACAGTAAATAAATACATATTTCTAGAAAAAGAAAAAGATTATTATTATTTTCTTAAAAGTTAAATTCTCAATTGAATAGTATAGTTAGCTGTTATTATTTATCACTAAAATACATAAACTCGGTACATCATAGGCACCAAAAGATACGCTACACAGTGCGTCATATTCAAGCGTTAGTTTGTAGGGATTCTTGTTTGATTGGTTACAGGATTTCAGCATGAGCTGACATTGGTTAGAGAACCATTGGAAAACCACCTGGGAGTACTGGACAGCTGTTTCGTCCTAGTCTGGGACTCTTCATCAGTACGCACCCACCATGGGGGGTTCGAACCTACGACCTTCCGATTACAAGGCGAGCGAACTCGTAGACCATTAAGCCACTGGGACCCGATCCAATGGCCAATCCATGAATTCTAACTTCTGCCAATTCACGACATAGCGCGACCCCTAGCCAATGTCTTCGGCGAGTATTTGTCCTCACAACTGACCTGCTGCACCCTACTGGTGACGACTTCTCACTAGAACCCCAGGTAACTACCTACCTGAATAGGGCCAGTCGCTAGTGAGCATCTCATCGATATTCAAGTGTTGGTTTGTAGGGATTTGATTGGTTACAGGATTTCATCATAGTTTGTTCGAGGGTCCAGACACCCAAACCGAATCAAGTGGTTCTCTTAAGGGGCCACCGTTCCCCCAGCCTTTAATATGAGTCCTGATCCACAAGGCAGTGGAGCAGAGTGGGGAGCTGCATCCCCATGGTTTCCAGTGACCGACCGAACCTTTCGGACTCTGTAGCCCATGTACACCATAGGTTTGGTATACCTGGGTTTTTCCAGTCGCCTAGGTAGACCTATATGTCCATCAGTGCTTCGTAATTGTCCTTTCGCTTGATGGGGTAACATTCCTGCTGCATGAAAGTAGTGAATAGAAGTTAGTTGTCATAAAATTAATAGACAGTTACACAGGATAAAGTAAAGGGCTGATAACTTTTGAAGAGGCAGCATTCAAGTGAACATGTCACAGTCCCTTACCACTGATAGTTCAATCAGTGAACTACCGACGAGCGCACGCACACACACGCACACTGCAATCAACATTATATAGATAATATTGAACAGCTGTTGTCCCAAGATCCAACAATGAGTCCCGAGTTGAAATCCCGCTCCATCGACATTCAGTCCTCAAACACAATTAACTGTGTGGCTCACAAAATCATAAAATGAAAGATCTATCTCGGGTATAATACGCTGGATAATAATGAGCAGTGAGGCCCTCTGAACTGGCTATTCCGAACACAAATACTCAAATATTGACTTGATAAAGATACCTCTAAAACACAGCAGTAACATTTTTAAGTTTTAGTTTGTAGAGATTAGATTTGTCGCAAGTCTGAGATCACAGACTGATATCGGTTGGAGAACGCTTTAAAAACCAGAGAGTGTAGAATAGTTGTTTCGTTCTATTCCGGGACTCTTCAGTATTACTCACACGACAGCTGGAACCTTTAGGTTACTAAGTCAAACGTTTTGACCATTCAGCCAGCTGGGTCGAGATTCAGTGACCCCTTGATTCGTTATTTTAATGAGACTGCCAGTCAAAGTCAACGGCGTGTATCTATCCTCACACCCAACCTTTTGTGGACTCCGGTGTTCACGACTTCTCACTAGAATTCCATCGTATAGTCAGTCACTAATGAACATCGGAGTGATTTTCAAGTGTTAGTAATTGTAAGGATTTGATTATTCCTCCAAATGATATTAATTCATGACTGAAACTGACAACAGCGACTACCTCCCTCAGTGGAGTTTCTGCCTGAACTCAGTTTCCCAGCGGGGGATTTTCATGGAACAGACTATGAGCCATACAATTATTGTTTGTTCAAATTGAAGTGAGTGCAGCTGAACTCTAACCCACCGGGTTGTAAGTCGAGTATTTACTCTGAAGAACTAAAACTGGTATAGTTAATCTTTCCAGTCATTTTACGACACAGACTATTATGGCTACTCAAGTCTTAACAATCTTGTATGTTCTCATTACGTACAGTACAGGTAAAAGATTCTATTATAATTTCCTTCATTACGCAGAATCTTTCAATAAGAAGGTTGAATATGCATACACAGCCAGTCAATAAGTTGTGTTTTTTTTTATTTCTCCCTTTTCGAGTGCAACATAGGACTTCAAGCTGTGCGCGCCTCTGAAGTTTCAGTAGCACAGTGGTGTTATTTTTTAACGTATTCCTAATTGTGGTGGACTGGATTATGCGTCAGAGAGTGGGAAACGAGAAGACAGGGATATCCTGGACCAAAGTGAAGAACCTAGAAGACCTGGATTTCGCGCGTGGATGATTTATGTTTGATGTCACACAAAATCGAAGACTTACAAGCGGAACGGAAACCGACAAACTGGTCGAAGAAGCAGCAAAGACAAGACGGAGATTATGAAAATAATCAACCAACAACAACAACAACAACAGCAACATCCAGCGCCAATCACCATCAACGGGAAGGACTTGAAAGAGGTTACTTCATTCACTTATCTAGGGAGCATTGTCTCAACCACAGGAGGAACGGACGAGGATGTCAAATCGAGAATCGGGAAGGCGAGAAACACATTCATCAACCTCAAACCAATCTGGAAATCTTCCGCTGTCACTCAGCATCAACAACAAAATTCGGATTTTCAATACGAACGTCAAGTCAGTTCTTCTATACGGGTCAGAAACTTAGCGAGTCACAAAGAATATTTCCAACAGCCTGTTGCAGACATTTATCAACAGCTGTCTTCGCTCTATACTCAAGATAAGATGGCCGCCGGAAAGAATCACCATTAAGAAACTGTGGGAACAAACAAAACAAGAACCAATCGCCAACCAACAAATATGCAGGAGAAAGTGGAGATGGATTGAACACTCGCTGAGGAGGCCGCTGGGTGACATCGCGCGTCAGGCCAGTGCTCGAGTGGAACCCGAGAGGGAAGCGGCGAGTGGGACGTCCAAGAGTGACATGGAGGAGATCGTGTGAAGAGGAGTTGAAAAAGTATGGATTAACATGGATGCCAGTGAAAAGTACAGCGGAAGACAGAAGCAAGTGGAGACGTGCAGTTGGAGCCCTATGTTCCACTAGGAACCCCAGGGAACAATTATTATTATTATCACCTCTACTGCTATCCATTGATTCACATTCCTGAACTCTGATCCTTTATGTGTCTTATTAACCACATTCATCATTCAAATGCCTACGACGAATATTTCATCATTGTGTATATATAAAGCCTGATGAGAATTTACCGTAAAACACGTATTGGCTTGCTTAAATCGTCTACCAAAATATAGAACAATATGGCCTTTATGAAACACTGAGATCCAGGCACAATAACACAAAACGTAACTGTCCTCAGCTCGATACCACTAGAAATAATCATTTATAATGATATTAGAATGGTGTGTTACTTTTCAAGGTGATCAGTACTCCACCACCACAAACACGTTAGAGATCATCACAACTTCACCACCCAACCCATCATCACCACCATTAGTATGAATAACACTAACAACATCACGCAATCAAGAAAACGTCAGTATTAATAAGAACAAAAATCAATATTGATAGTATTTTCTCTTGATCAGAACCATAATTAATTTATGTCATACGCAACCTGCAGAAACAATTTGTTGCATAAGAGAGAGAGAACGGTTCAAAATAAAGATTTTGATAATACAATTTAATTGAGAGATAGATTCAATCTAATTACCACACAGACAATAAATAATACAATGTCAATGCACACACATACACAGACACATTTTTACGTAAAGACAGGTCACATTTGACCTTACTTAGTCGAGATTAAGCCGGTTCAGATTACACGAAATACCACCCACCCACCAACCAACCAACCAACCAACAAACGTTTTGTTCTGTAACAATTATTATCAATTAATTGTTATTATTACTATTATTATTGTTATTAATATCGCTTATCAATATGATGGAATAACGTTCAGTTGAACGACGCACACACACAAAAACAATATTCGACACTACATACACGTGCACACAGATTATGTTGGCAGGTACAGAACAATAGACGATTGATTGAGTGACGAACGGACAAACAAGCAAACAAGCAGCTGACAGACAGACAAACAGATAACCAAAAACACTGAGTCGAATAAAAGGTTATATGAACAATATAGAGGCATGGAATCAATAACATGAGTATGATTAGTCATTGCGTAATAATAATAGTAATAGTAATAATGAGCACTGGTAGGTGTAAGAAACAGTCGAACGAAGTGGCTGTTACAATCTAGATTTTTTCATTCTTAATATGATGATCGGACAAATCGACAGTAGATACTAATCAGGAGCACAGATTGTTATCGCTATTCTTCAAACTCTGGTGCTTACTATTTACTGAGTCACAAAAATACCAGTAATTTTTACATCACCCTCCAGGCGGTCGCTCGAGATGAACCCGAATGAAAAATAACGGATTGGGCGTCACATCGAGGATAACATGAAGAAGATAACAGTTTATGGGCAATCGTAGAGAGCCGGCTACAGAGAACCGCTGAAAGCAGGATGAAATGGGAACGTGCTGTTCAAGGCCTATGGCATAAGTCAATGAAATCCACAACAGTTAGTTTAAGCCAGACAGCCAGCCACGTAGGAAGGTGTAGACTACCTGGTTGGGGTCGTCAGGAGGGTAAAAACCAATGGCTGGAGACAGTCGGTAATATGGCTCAAAATCGTTCTCAGTGATGGTACAAATGCATCCACTCCTTGTGACTTATAATATCCAGTGAAACTATATTGTTCTTCGATATTACTATTCTTTTTGTCTCATATCTCTGTTTGCTGTGTCTATTTTGCATTTCATTTTACTTTCTTCTCTT